TCATCTTATTAGGGATAAGATTGCTAATGAAGACTGAGTACCTTTTTCCTTTGGATCCCAAGGTCCCAAAATTCCCCACTTGTTTTTTGTTGATGATTTAATTCTTGTTGCCAAAGCTTATTCTCATCATGCTACCATCATTAATGAAGTGTTGACTGACTTTTGCTCTGTTTCAGGATTAAAAGTGAATACTGATAAGTCTTCCCTTTTTTTTTTAAGCATATTGATATTGATACTATTAGAATGATTAGTGAGTAGCTGGCCATTAAGCCTGTCAATCAACTGGGTAAGTATTTAGGAGTTCCTATTATGCATTAGAAACCTTCTAGGGTCCAGTTTTCTTTTCTTTTAAACAAGGTTAGGAAGAAATTAGCACTTTGGAAGATGAATTTCTTTTCTCTTGCTGGTAGGGTTACTCTAGCTCAAGCTTGTCTTATGAGTATACCTAGTTATGTTATGCAGTCCCTTGTTCTCCCTTCTTCCATATATAATGAAATTAATAGTTTATGCAGGAAATTCATTTGGAGTTCTTTAAATAAACAAAAATGTCATCTTATTGGTTGACAACATATTTGTAAACCTAAATCTGATGGGGGCTTAGACTTTAAAGATTTGTAATTATTAAATAAGGTATATATGATGAAACTTTGTTGGCGTATGATCTCTTCCCCTTCTAATTTATGGTCTCACGTCCTATGTCATAAATATAATTTTAGCCCTAGTCATATTTTGGTTAGTAAGAAAGTGCCTAATCAATCTCATTTATGGAAAAATATTATTAGTAACTGGCCTCAATTTTCCCAAGGCTTAGGTTGGCTTGTGAAAGATGGCATGTCTATTAAGTTCTGGATTGATAAATGGATCCCTGGTATTGATAGGCTTATTAATCATGTTGATATACCTCATTCTGATCTTGATCTTGAGTCTCCTGTTGCCTTATTTTCTTCTCAAGGTAGTTGGGATTGGGATAAAATATCTCCTACTATTCCTGATCAAATTTGTAAGTCAATGGCTTTAATTACTCTCCTTTCTAAGTTGGCTAGACCTGATACTACTTTCTGGAATTTGTCTAATAATGAAATTTTTTCTATTAAGACTGCTTACAGTTTACTAGCTAACCCTCATCTTAGTCCTAATAATGGTAATAGTTTATTCAAGATCATTTAGAATTGGAATGGTCCTCCTAAGATAACTTTTCTTCTTTGGAAGCTAGGCCATGGTAGATTAATGACTAATGAGAAGAGATTTTCTAGAGGCATGACTACATCTCCTGTTTGTCCTAGGTGTGAAGAATGTCCTGAAACTATTATGCATGTGTTAAGAGATTGTTGGTTTGCTAGATATGTTTGGAATAATTTTATTTCGTCTAGCCAATGGGTTCTTTTTTTTACTTCTGAACTATCTAACTGGTTGTTTTCAAATTTATCTGAGAATAATTTGAATATGTTTCACAACTAGAATCTCATTTTTGGTTTTGTTGTTTGGCACTTTTGGAATGATCAGAATCACTTCATTTTTCATCAGTTTTCTTCTCAGGTTTGTTATTTAACTAAAAAAGATTTAGCTGATGCTAATTATTTTTACATTTGTGACAGGTCCAAGTCTTTAAGTCTGTCTAATCTAACTTCTGATTTTGGGATAGTTAAGTGGACTCCTCCTCCTGTTGACTAGCTTAAATGGAATGTGTAAGGGGCTGTTTCTAGATCTAGTGGTGTGACTGCTTGTGGAGGCTTGATTCGCAACAGTGGTGGTAGTCTTCGAATGTGCTTTTGCTGCAGTTTGGCTCCCTATTCCCCTCTCTCTGCTGAACTTTGGGGTATTTTTCATGAAATTCAATTAGCTATTTCTATGAAGATACAGGTTCTTTGGATTGAGAGTGATTCAAAATAGGTTATTAATTTGATTTTGCATGTCCAACCTCCTTCCGATCCTCTCTTTCCTTTGATTTGTAATTTTAGGAATGCCTTAAAATCTATCAAATTTGTTAAATTTGTTCATATTTTTAGAGAATCCAATATTTATGCTGATTTTTTTATTAAGTTAGATTTGGTTTCTCCTATATCCTTGTATCAATTTGAGGTACCCCCTCCCTTTCTTTTATCTTTTCTTTCTTTAGATTTTAGTTCCCAGGGTTTTCTTAGGTGGTTAACTTAGGCTTGGTCTGTTTTGGACTTTTAAACCCCTTTATTTAGCAAAAAAAAAAAAAAGAAAGAAAGACACTATATGACAGCTTAACACTAACATTACACATGAATGACATAAATTGTAGCAAATATTTGAAAATATAAACTATGAAGGTATAGATATGAGATTAAGAGTTTGTTTCTCTTTCGATTTTTAATTTTTAAAAATTATTTTTAATTTTTTTTAAAATATTTATAAATAAAAATAAAATTTATTTTATTTTTAAAATAGAAAACAAACAAGTTATAAATATGTGTATATATCTATAGTAAGAATTTTTTTTTATTTTCAAAAAGTTTATAGTTAAATCATATAAATATACATGCATGTTAAAGATTAAGAGTTAGTTAACAACTATGTCATCATTTAAAAAAAATATATGCATTTATTTTTTTAATTTAATTTAAATTTAAAAGTTTATATTCATTATTCTCCAATTTATAATAAAATAGTATATATTTTTTTCTTAAACCATATTTTAAATTTAATAGTGAATTAAACTAAAAAATATTTTAAATAATAATTTTTTAAAAATATTAACTTAATGATGTTTAAAATTTTAAAAAATCCAAATTAATGAAGCAAGTGTTTAAAAATTTGATATGTGATTTTAAATCATCAACTTAAAAGTTAGATGTTGAAAACACTGACGACTCTTACTTAAAATTAAAAAAAGTTTAATCAAATTTTTTATTTTGAAAAAAAAGTATACTTCTTATGTAGTTCTTATTTTATAATTTATAATTTTTATATTTTTTAATTAATTAATTATATTATTTATTTACATAACATTTAAGTTGAGTCATATAATTTGATGTCTCACTGATATATATCTTCATATTTAGTTTAAAAAACAAGATTTTATAAAAGTAAAATTATATATATATATATATATATATATATATATATATATATATATATATTATGACACATAATCTTTTATGCTTATTTTTTTCATAATATATAAATAGCAAACTATTACTAATAAAGCAACTGTACTGAAAAAACAAAACTTTAGTTGATTTATTTGGAAAAAGTTAAAATATGGATTAAATAAAAAATATTAAATTTTTAAAAGTTCAAAAATTTATATAAAATCATAAAAAAAATATACTATAGAAAATTAAATGCAAGATTATAACATTTTTTTTCTTCTAAATATCAGTTGCTCTCTTCTGTGGAAAAGCACAGCATCCCCATTAAATGTTGATTTGTGCACTTTGATTTAACCAGCTAAAGTATTTTATCACAAAGGCAATCAACACCAGCAATTCTAACTTTACAGCTGGACGTGTGATATTAAATTATAGTTTAAAAATAAATAATGATATAACTTTTTATGTAAAAAAAAACTACGTCTAACTATGAAAAGTTTACTTTAAAAAATATATTTAATGCTATTTTCAATCTATACATACAAATTATAAATTTATTCTTACCTTTTTGTTGATACTATATCTTTTACAAAATTAAATAAAAGACATTATTAACTGTAGAAACTAAAATATAATATTTTATTTATAAACCAAAATATGTTATAAATACATTTAATATACAAAATTATTATCAAATATAATATTACGATAACAACAATAAATAATAAAGACTATTTTCAAACATCTTTTATATAAAAACAAAGAATATATTTATATAAAAATATTTATTTTTTTAAATTTTTATTAACTTTAATTTTTGAAACTAAGAATAAATATTTAAATATCAATTTATAAAATATATATTTATTATATTAAAATTATAAAAATATGATAAATATTTTTTTAATAACAATTATTTCTCTAACGCTTTCATGTTTGAAACATGCTCTATGGTAAAAGGAGTCATATAAAATTAATCTAGTGTACGTAATATTTTTGGTTGCATAATTTAAACTTAGTTGTTATAATTTTTATTTAATTTTTTTATTTTTTAATCAAATAACTGTAATCTTTTCAATTTTAAGTGCTTTCATTCAATGTCTCTAATACTTTAAATCTACAATTTTTGTCTCTCAATTTTAATTACTCACAATTAATCTATTTAATTTTTTAAATGTACCATTTTAGTTCTCTAATTTTAATTGAACACATTTAATTTTTTAGTTTTTTAAATGATTAAATTAAAATTTTCATTAATTTTTTTATTATATATTATATATTTTATTTTATATTTTTATAAACTAGTGAATAAAATTTTAGAATAAAAAATTAATTTAAATTAATAAAAATTAATCACAAATAATTTAATATCGTTTAAATAAAGTTTCAAATTAAAATAAATAAAAAAAGTTAATTTAAACATTTAAAAAGTTAAATATAATTAATTAAAATTAAAATATAAAAAATAAAAATCGCACGTACGGAACAATAATATGCATTTTATATTAACATTTATTCTGACTGACATTGAATTGTTGAAGCACAGTGAATAATAAAATTACTAGAGTCGAGGTAATATATATTCATACAAATAATAGAATACCACCATTTTCAAGTACCTTATCCTAAAAGATATTAGACACGTGTATCATGTTGCAACCAAATCCATATAAATTTAAACTGAAAACCCAGAAAATTAAAATATAAACAGCAAAAGCTTTAAAGAAAAAAAAAAGTGTACTGCACAAAACAGCTACTGACAAGACTTTCACCATAACACGCGGCGAAGCGAACCCTCTCTCCCTCGCCACCACGACCCACCATCATCATCTCCTTCTCCTCTTCTTCTTTTTCAAACACACTCTCTCTCTATATAAATCCTCTCTCTCTATTAAAAAAAAAAAAACCCCAAAATTCGTTTCTTGTCTTACAATAAATTGAGTAACTGATTAAGCGCTTCGTATTTTTCTCTTCAAAAACATACACAAAAAAGAAGTTACATGTTGTCTTCTTCTTCTTTCTTTCTTCTTCTTCTTCTTCAACTCACACCTCCTCAATTGGGTCTTTAAAAAATCTGCAACCTTTAATAATTTAAAGCTTTAAAAAAAACCCAGAAGGGACAACCATTCTTCTCCTCATTTCCAAGCTTAAAATACTGAGTGGGTGCAATTTGTCATTTTGCTTCTCCTGTGTAAATGTCTCTCCTTTGCAATTATTGTTATTGCCAATCCCATCACCTTCTCCTTTTCCATTTTTTATTTTAATTAATTTTCTTCTTCATATCACCATCCCATCAAACCCTTCATGGCATAGTGCAAATCTCCTCTCAGAAGGAAAGTGGTAAAGTCTTTTCCCTCTCTCCCCAAAAAATAAAATCTCAGATTAAACATAAAAAAATCATCTTTAGTCCTTTTTTTGAGCTGGGATGGAAAATATGAATCAATCTACCAAACAGAGTTCTTGTTTATCACACTCCCTTAGTTGTTGCTACATTATGAGAGAGACTTGAGAGCTTCCTATACATCCAAAAAAGAAAAAAATATATTAAAACCCATTTCTCAATCATTCTCTTCATTTGGGTTTTTGAGGATTTTCTGTCACTTTCCCGGGAAAATCTTTGATAAACGACAATGCCCTCTTCCACCACCTCCTCCTCTTCCTCCACAACATCATCAATGTCGTGTTGCTCCGCAAGTTCTCCTTCCAATCTGGAACGCTTTCTTCAATGTGTCACTCCTCTTGTTCCTTCACAGACTCTACCTCAGGTATTTTATTATTATTATTATTATTATTATTATTATTGTTTTGGGGAGTGGTTTGTGTTGAAGGGCTTATGTTTTTGTCCGAGGTGCTTCTTCTTGTTTTCAATTCATGGGACGGTGTTTTTGTTTGGTTGATTCTGTTTGTTTAATTTATTTTTACTTTTTAATTCTCAGAATTTCATACAGAATTTTTTTTTCTTTTTTTTTTTTTTGTCAATTTTTATTGTTGTCTCTTTGTTTTTATCCCACTGAATTGATTACAGCTTTAAAAGTATTTTTAATGTTTTTACGTTTTTTTAATTTATAAAAATTAATGTATTTAATATTTACCCCCGGGAAATTAAGTCTATATTGGTTTTGTTAATTATTGAATAAAAAATTATTTTTAGAACTAAAATAAATATTTCAAAACGCATTTAATGTTGGTCTAATTTTCTGTTCAAAATTAATTTTTATATTTTTTAATTGAAGATACAGTCAATAAAAATTTAAGAATAAAATTATTTTTTTACATATCTTATTTATACTTAAAAAATTAAATTAATTTTAGTCAAACTTTAATACTAGCGGTGCATTAATTCTGTATTATCATTATCTGCATATATTGATTGATTTTGGTTTTTCAGTTCTCAGAATATTGGTACCTGCCACTCTAATTTATGGATCGAAAATAGGTAGTAATTACTTTATTTAAATATCGAAATATTTTAACTCGAATATTGAAAAGATGGAAAGTGAATATGAAAAATTTAAATATTTACTCTGCTGATTAAAAATATTGTTTTTAGCTTATTTAATTTTTTTCAAAGATTTAACTGTTGCTTTAGATAAACTATTAATTTTCTAGAAAATCTGTCATATCCTACCACGATAAGATTTTGTAATAACTAATAAAGAAAATATTAAATAAATTCATTTAATATCTTAATAACACAAATTAAATGATAATATTTCTTGCCATAATTAGTTAAGGTAATTTAGAATTATTCTATTTAAAAACTTATGAAATCTCCATCACTAGTATTTTTGTCCCTTTAATTCGTCATTAAATGTTTAAAAGTTAATTGAGTACTTCACGGATGTTATATAATACATTATCAATTATAGTCAAACATTAATGATGATATCAAGGGGTTATATTTTAATGTAAAATATTAATAAAATACACACACACACACATTAAATGAATCATGATTCCGTTAATAAATCTCTATTTGTTTTATTTTATTTGAATTATTTTTCTTTTATTTGCTTTACTTTCACTTTCTCTATGGGACTGGGAATGGATAGGGGTGCAGACCTTTACACGTCAATAATAGAGAACGCGCTGAAACGATGTCGTAAACAACTGAAGCCTTTTGTCCTGCGTAGGGAATATTCGTTGGATGCCATTTGAAAAATCTTCACCCACGTGTCATTTTTCAATTTCTATCGTACATAAAGGAAATGTCTAAAAAACTATGGTCGATGTGACACAAAAATTATTTTAATTGGGTGAAAAAGACACTTTATATTTTATTTTGTTATTTGTGCACAGCATTTGTTATTCTTTTTTACATATTTAATATTTTAGATTAGAAAAATGAAAATAAGGGTGGTTGTTTTGTTTTTTTGCATCACTTGTGTGAGATTAGTCTTCTTATAAGTGGATATGAGAGTTAATATCCAATTAAGTAAGTTCGATGCACTTTGCTTGTAAGATTTAAATTTGATTACACCTACCCTATTCATTATTTGGTAGGAAATTCACAAATCTTCTGGAATAGGATATTGAGACCAATTTTTTTATTTTAATTCCAACAATTTTTTGCTTGGTAATTTTCAGTCTGAGGATAATTACCGGAAGGGGGAAAAAATCATATAAAAATCTTTGTGATTGCTTGGTCTAAGGAGAATCTGTGGGTTTTTGTTTTATTAAGGCATGAATAATAGATGATATATAATTTTTCTTGGTCAAAGTGATTTTCTGTGGAAATTATGATGCTTGATTTGATTTGTGGAGAAAGTTTATCGTTCTATTGGTCTGTGATTCAAAGGACAAGCACCAAACTTCAAAGATAAAGTTTCTAAGGAAATTAATGCTTATGTTTCTGGCGGCTTCTACATACCCAATGTGTGGTGTGATTTAGAAATTGGTCATTCCAATTATGGGCACAAGCCACTAGTTTTGATTAGTAGCCCTGTGAACCATGATGTTCCTAGTTCCTACTATTAGTATTATTCATTCTCTGTGGCAACCTATCATTAAGAAAGATGTTTCCACTGGGATTTTCCATTTCCTTGTTCCAAGTTGCATATTACAATGACATTATGTGGATTTCTATCAATTTCTGTTCTTTTAGAGAAATATTCAATGTTTTTGGCCATTCAAAAGTTGGAAAATGAAGGAAGAAAAAAAGCAAGAATGTGGGGGATGTTGTGGAATATGCTAGCGGCCAGCGAATTTGCTTGTTAAGTTGTTACTACTTGAAGGGACTAAGGACTTTGTTGGCAATTGCTTCTATTTTTAGCATATTCTCTCAGCCTAAACTCTCTGTTTTATGAATTGGTAGTTAAAAAATGGGTTGTGGAGTCACATGAGTGTGATTCTTGCATTTGATGAATCCACACTTAGTTTCTTACAAGTTACAGGTAACCATTTTTGTAGTATTTGACACAAATGTCGTACTCCTATAAACGTCTTCATTTTCTTGCAGGGTTAGCATTGCATTATTTGTCCTCTTGTAATTAATTTTTTTGTTTGAAGTAAGAAATAGAGAGGAGCTGAAGCTAGCTAGTGCTGTCTGTGATTAATATGCTTCTTTTTTTCTGTTTTCAATTCAAATTAAGAAATATTCTTATTCATTGTCTTAGAAGGAAGGACAATTAACATTCTGATTAGTTTTCTTAATTTTATTTACTTTCATCATGTAATTTGCAGAGTTGCTTCAATGATCTAAATAGTCTCTGGCAACCTCTTGGTAAGGACACAATTGAATGCTTCACCCTGAAAGATCTGTGGGATTGCTATTATGAATGGAGTGCATTTGGTGCTGGTGCTCCTGTGATGTTAGAGGATGGTGATACCGTAACTCAGTACTATGTTCCATATCTATCTGCTATCCAAATCTACAGCAACAAGTCTGTTTCAGCTTCTCGGTATGTTACAATGTCGTTTGCTTATATACATTAACATGTTAACAAAATGGTGTAGTGATCTTCCTCTCTTGTGTTTTATAGGAATCGGAGAGAGGACAGCGATGGAGTCGAATTTGAAAGTGATTCATGGAGCGATGATAGTGGTAGTGATAAGCTATCTAGATCGTTAAGTGACAATTCTAGCAAAGCTTGGGATGCTGTTTCTGAGGACTCAAGCTGTGACCAAGAAGGTTCATGGCCATCAAGGGATAAGCTTGGCTACCTTTACTTACAATATACTGAGATGGCTTCGCCTTACTCAAGGGTGCCACTTATGGAGAAGGTAGCTTTTATTGTCAACTAGTATTCACTTTGGGTTAAACATTATTGGTCCTTCAAAATACACCGCATTTTTATTTTAGTCCTGCATACATTTTAAAAACTTGTTGATTTTAGTCTCTTACTGAAATGGCTTTAACAAAAAGTGTCATGTGACGAAAAGTTTGACATGTGGCAATATCCGAGTTATCCATGTCATTATTTTTTAGTGACCAAAACAAACCATTTTAAAATATGCGTGGACTAAAACCAAAAAATAGTACACAGAAATTTGTGTGTATGTTACACTAACACAATACATAACTTTTTTAGATACCTGAATTAGCTAGAAGCCATCCGGCATTAATGACATTGAAGAGTGTGGATCTTTCCCCCGCTAGTTGGATGGCTGTTTCTTGGTGAGCATAATTTGTTGCTTTTGTTAATGTCACATGTGATTTATTGTCGTCAATGGCGTTGCTGTTATTATTAATATTTGGATAAAATATGTGAGCTCTCTTTGTAACAAGTGAACTTTGTTATTAAATTGTCACTGAAGCTATTTTATTTCTTAATTTTAATTAAAGACAAAATTGGTCTTTATTTGTGATGTCATAAACAATATGAAGAGAATAGTAACAATGACATAAACTGGTGTTGGGAAAAGTGTTCTCTAGCTCAGCCTTTACTCTGTACACATTATTTTTTAGTTCATAATTTGTGTATCTTATTGATATTACTTAGTGTAAGATGTCAAGTTTCTGTTGGTTTCCATGGAAGAAAGATGTTATGCTGACTCTTCATCATTGAATAGGTACCCAATTTATACGATCCCAAGTCGAAAAAATGAAAAGGACTTGGAAGCATGCTTTCTCACTTTCCATACATTGTCATCATCTTTCCAAGGTAAATGTAGTTTTTTTTTTCCCAATCAATGTCTTTTCTTTTCTCCGAGAATGAAAAAACAGATCAAATCAATGTAATTCATGCTATTACTTAGGAGGAGGTGGTTGATTGTCATGGCATCTTTCACATGTTTCTGAACTAATTATGCTTCATATTCATACAATTTTGTTTGAAAATAAAATACATTGTGAAGTCCAGGGAGTAAATGGCACCACCCTTGAAGTAATTGAAAAATTCAATACATTATTCCAATCTTATTTGAATACTAGATATGGATTACCATTACTGGATTTTCATTCTAATATCATACAGTCCATTTATGTGAATGTGAATTATTGGTCATTAGATTAGGATGCATCAGAGGTAAGACATTCATTTACATTATATCCTCCAAACTCAATCTTTTTCCTTCAAATCTCACATATGCGTTGCCAATTGATCCTGTTATTTCTTTCCAAAATCCATCTCTAGAGGTAAGTGTAACATTTAACACACAAGTTTGGAGAAAATATTCACATATTTTTCAAAAACTCTCAAAAGGCCGACAAAAATAAGCGAATATTATTTTAAATGTTGGTTTTGTATTTTGGTATATAGCATAATGTAGAGGGAGATAGAGAGATATTCAATATAGTATTTTTTGTAAATTCAACCTTGAGCTTGATGTTATATGCATATGCAGATTGTGCAATGGAGTGTGATGACTTTGACATAGGGAATGATCTATCTTGTTCCATGGGTTGGGAAAGTAATGTTGGAGAGAAATACAAGAAAAAGGAAAGTGGCTATGTATCTCTCCCTCCTTTTGGGCTAGCCACTTACAAAATGCAAGGAGATCTTTGGCTAAACCCTGAGCCTTATGACAATGAAAGGATATCCTATTTGTACAGTGCGGCAGACTCATGGTTGAAACAACTCAATGTCCATCACCATGACTTCATCTTCTTCACATTACACTCTACCGTGTAAATTGCTTCCTGTCCATCTTTAACTAAGCGTGTGATTGGTTTCACGTTTGAATGACCATAGATCCATGTTTACTTGAACGTTGAACGTTACTGGTTGTAACTTCTGCGGTGGATCTACCTTTGTAAGGATTTCAATGTGTTTCCAAACACACATTAACTACCCTTTGTTTAGCTTTCAACTCTGACACCGGAAAAAGATAAAAAAAAGGTACCCCTTTGGTGCAATTCTGAGATAAACATTCAGAAACTGAGGAGTTATATCTCAAAAGAGTGTATAACACCAAACAATGTAAAATTTTGCTAATGGGGGGTGAGTTTTTCTTTTTTACTTACCATTTTTGTTTTCTTTAATGGTACATTCCTAGGAAGAGGATAAAAGTTTGTCTTAGGTAGCTGAACTATGATATATGTTTTGTACAATAGTCTTTTTTTTTTTTTTTCCTTCAAAGAAAAAAACATCATGTTCTGAGTTGAATTTTGTAATCCTGCTTCTTTCTTTTAATGTTGATTAATGGTAGAAGCAATTTGTGTCGTGTATATGAGATTAACAATTATGGGAGCCACTCTACCTTGGTTGCTATTGCTTTTCATAGTTTGTTTGGCCAAGAGCAATAAACATAACTGATACTGTTTTGCGTAAATTCAGTGGATCAATCTTTTAAATTTTTAGATTATTTTTTGCAATTCTCATTAGCGATTTTATTGTTACTTTTAGAATTTAATTTTTAAAAGAGCATTTCATATATATAGGTTGATGTCTTAACCTGTATAAATAATTAAAAAAGGTGAATGGTATGTAATCAAAGTACCAAAATTGCTTACTTGCAATGTGTATTGATCAAAACTCTTTGACGTTTAGTCATTGCCGTTTTATCCTTCTAAATATAAGCTGATGGCAAGTGGGGCAAGCTACTCCGTCCGGTCCATTTTAAAAAAATAAAATATTAGTAAAATATTAATATAAAAAAATATATTTTTATTGATTTTTATATATTTTTATATTTATATGTCAATTTTAGGACCCGATATGTTAACTTAATGGACTAGAAAGTGTAGCACATTTTAAAAAGTACAACAGACAAAAGTATATTATAAAATTTATTAATTTATTTGTTAGTTTGAAAGTTTTTTTTAAAAATATATCAAGTTTATAAGATTTTATTTTAAAAATAGATACATTATTATTTTATTATATTATATATTATGTTATTAAAATTAGTAAATATCAACTATTTAATAGTATATTTATATATGTCTAAAGCATGAAAAAATGTTACACAATTCAATGGTTTAATGGTAAATTTTGTATTTTATAAAAATTTATTAAGTGATATAAATGTATTTTATTAATGATTGTTTAAAATTTTTTAATATGAAAATGATCAATATTGTACGAGTATATATAAATGATCAAGATTAATTTTTTTAAGTCATATAAATTCTTAAAATTATCACACAACTTTTACGTTTATTAATAATGATAAGATCTAATAATTGAAATTTATTTTCATGTAAAAATTATTCTTATTTGATATGTTTCATATACATATATTAACTAACTATAAAAAATTATATAATTTAAAATATAATATATTTTTTAAAATATAAATAAACAATGACAGTAAAATTATATATTTATTCATATTTAATTTTTTATTTGGTATCTATTATTGATATTATGTTATTTAATAATTAGATTAATAGAGTTTAACATCCATAAAAAGTTGTCAAGCACAATAATTTTAATAGAAATTATTAAATGTTATAGTCATTTATTATAATATATTTATTAGGTGTATTAAAATTTATTAATAAATTATTACTAAACAAAATAAAATTTTCTTAAATTTATATATACATATATATTAAAAAATTTCATTGTATTTTTGGAATAATTTTAATTTTTAAAATATTTCAAAATAACTAAATTCAAATCAAATTTATATAAAAATTATAAATTGACAAATATATATATATATATATATATAAATTTTTTTAATTTCTTAAGTTTAATTATACTTTTAGATAAATTATTATGACTTTTCAAAATTTAAATATGTATTAAATTATTATTATTAGTAGTAGTGCTTTTATTCTTTTTGTTGCATCAACGGGCTATAAAGCAGACTACAATCCTTGACAGGAAAAGGTACGAGCATTAATGTTTTATTCATTTCATTCATATAAAAAAAGGTATATAAAATAATTCAATAAAAATGAAAAGGTTTTTATTACATTTTTAAAAAAGTATTATATATATATATTAATTTATATAAAAAATTTAATAATATACAACTCCTTTATTATATTTTTAAATTATTAAGTGAAATTTTTAAATAAAGAAATTAATTTAAATAATTTTAAAATTTTAAAATTAAATATAAATAATAAAAAAAATGAAAAAGCCAAGATAGCATTGAAATTAAAATATAGAGATGAAAAGTGGAACTGAACCTTTATTTTATTCTCCAATCTTGTTGGTCATAAAGCATATATTCCTCCTCATTGCATTTTGTCTGTTTTGGAAAGCTCATGAAGATTGTCACTATCATTATATGGTTGAAATTAGGGTTCCTTTTTTATTCTTTAGTTAATAGCTTCATTTTTGTTTCTATCAAATGTGGTTTGAGTTATTTGGCCTAATGCATATGTGAAAAGGCTATCTTATATCTTCTTTTTGCATTAATATATATATTTGATAGAGAAAGTATGGTTTCTTTAAGTGTAAATTGTTTTTCATTCACTTAAAAGTGATTTGAGTTATTTGGCTTTATGCATATATGGAAAAGCTATAGTTGCTTCTTAGAGTGATGTATATTTGATAGAGAAAGTATGATTTTGCACTCATAAATTGTTTTACATTCACTTAATAGAATTCTTTATTTGTATTGATTAGATATAGTTATGTGTGTTAATGTTGCTTATTAAATAATTTTTTTAGTAAAACATTGCAAAACTTAAAATAGTGTGCAAGTATTTGATTCATGTTCTAGATTTTATATATTATAATAGATCAATAGATATATTATCTATCAAGATAATTTTAAAGTTTGACAAAATTTCCAAATGAATGTTATAATTAAATAAAATTCCAAAATTTATATATTATAATAGATCAATAAAAAAGAATGCATGTATCAAATTATAATTAAATAAAATATAAATATTTTTCTAAAATATGTATAAATCAAGACAATTATTATGATATCATATCTAAATTTTAATCATTATCATTTCCACTGACAAAAAAGAAGAAAAATAAAATAAAATAATGGTGAAATTAAATATCTGTGAGAAAAGGGAAATTAAATTTATGGTAAAACAAAACGTGGATCAAATACAGTTAAAACCAGTGTGGCAAAACCCCACCTCTAACAACACGTATTCTTCCGAGAGTTTCTGTTATATCCTCAGGTGTATTCTCTTAATATATATATATATATATATATATATATATATATATATATATATATATATATATATATATATATATATTTTATTTTATAAAGTGATTACTAAAGTAAAAATATAAAAGATATATTTAGTAGTCAAAAAGATATGTTTAATATTTTTATTTAATAATTAAAAATATTAAAAAATTAAAAGGTAAAAAAATAGAATTAAAACAAAATTGATATGAATATCTTAAACAGTTTTTTAATCAAAGTTAGAGTTTCATGTTAAGAGTAATTAGTATTAGTATAATAAAAATATTAAAATTTGACATTAGTTTATAATATAAAATTTTAATTTTAATTAAAAATAAATATAAAATAATTAAAGTTTTGTATCTAAGTTTTATTTTAGAATTATTTTTCTTTTGAACACATTCATAGTTAATTTTTTTAAAATGTTGAATCAATTTTTAAAAACTATTTCTCTTAACCCTTTTTAATAGGTCATTTTAATTTTTTTGTGATCTTTAGTATAATACTATTATTAAATTTTAAGAACATTTATTATTATTATTATTATTATTATTATTATTATTATTATTATTATTATTATTATTTACCTTTTATAAATTTGAACATTTTAAACTTCTATAATTAATATATTAATAAAATTTGATTTTAAATAAATATAAATTAAGAATATTATAATTATTTTTAAAATTCAATGTATTAACTAATTTTAATAATTTTTTAATCTCTGAAACTTATAAATAATATTAATTAATTAATGGGATAATTATTTAAAATAAAATAATTATAAAAAACATATTTTAGAAAAACTGTTACAAATATTCCTTTTATAATCATATAATCAATCATACATCATAATAATCAAGATGAAAAATGGTTGTCTCATTTGTTTTACATCCTATTTTAAGTGTTAAATGGTTAGATAAAAAGATGAATTAAAAAATAATAAAAATAATTTTTAACATGTATTTAAGGTAACAAAAATTATACATGATAAATTTTCTTTTAAAATAATAAAATATTATCAATTTTAATACATTAATAGTATTAGTCTACACAAAAAATTATTAATAATATTTAATATTACATTTTTAATAAAATTACAAACTTTAAATTTTTTAACACTTACCCTTAAATACACAGGTTAGAAAAAATATATAAGGCGAATGAAGATTTGATGGTTCATAAATGTTAGTTGTTCACGTCTATTAGTTGGTCCAAATCCTTCTTCGCTGCATGCAATGCTTTTACTATTCTTTCTTTCTTTCTTTCATTCTCACGTTTCCCTTTCTTTTGTTTTGTTCCCTTGGCCCCAAACAAACACAAACACATTACACAAACGCGCTTTCTCTCTCTGTGACAGTTAACGAAGAATCAAAGAAAAAGAAAAGAACAAAGTGATTGTCACTTGGGTTAGAATCTGATTCCCTTTCGAAGCTTCCATTTTGAGCATTTGGGTATCTCTCTTTCTCACTCTTTCTTCGATTTCTTCATCTGGGTACCGCTGCAATTTCCTCTCACTTCAATTTCTACAATGGTTCTGGTTTTCGCCTTGATTCTCTTTGGGTTTCTTCTTGGGGTGGTGGTGGTTGTGGCTGCCCAAGCTCTTGGAGTATTGTGGATCCTGAAACGACTGCGTTCTAAGATCAACAAAGACCGAGCCAAAATCTCATCAAAAGCCCAACTGGGTAATGCTCAATTTGATGCCCACAATCAATTGCTCAAAAAGGAGGTAACTTTCAGGTTCCAACTTCCAAATGGTGTCTATTCCTTAATTTTGTTGTTGATTTATTTTGGTTTTTTTCTTCTTTTAATTTGTTCATGTGCTTTTTGGTTCTGTCTTAGGGTGTGGTTTGGGTTTTGGAGCCTGATAAGGTTTCGAAATTGTGGTCGGAGAAACAGTCAAAAGAGCAGAAAAGGAAAAAGGAACTGTTGGAGGTTTCACCTGTTAGAAAATATGGGAAAATCAATTGTCACTCACTTGTTATCACAGAGCCTGACGGTTTTCAAACCACCATTCAGCTCAAGGGGTGCTTAGTTGTGGCTGTTTCAGCCACACGCCTTCCTTCAAAGAAATGGTAATGTGAGATGTGACAGCTCAAGGGCTTTGGTCTGTGATGTTGGTTCCATTTTGAATTAGTTCCCTGCATTGCATGATTTCAATTTGTGGTTTGTGGAGTGCATTGTGTTTTTGGAGATGTATTCTTTTGTTAAGTGTGTTTGTAGGTTACAAACTGAGAGGTGAGGTGAGCTTCAAGTTCAGGGGAATGGGATGTAATTCAGAGTGTTGGAATCAGATAGTGAATTTGACTATATGCTAGACTCACCTCTTTTCAATAACTTTTTGGCTGCTTCCAATAGGGATCGTGCATTTCAATTCAACATATGCTTCATACTTCACAGTAAATGGGTTTCTTTTGATCTTTTCCTGATATGAAATTTAAAATGGAGAGGTCTCATTTCCTATGTCCTAATGAAAAAAGTAACTTGAATTGCTTGGCTTGTGGGCGCCACACTTCCAGTGATGATGGAAAGATATATTTTATTGTATTCTTTTGCTTATTAACTGAGGAAATTAGGTGCTTCAAGTTCTTATTTGATTGGTAATGAATCTTATAGGGCAAAAAAGTTCCCAATCAAAGTGGAAGCCAAGACCTCTGTGATCTACCGTGGAAGCAAAACTCTTTACATATATCTTGAGACATCAAGCGAGAAAGAATCATGGTGTAAGGCTCTCCGTCTGGCTTCATGTGATAAAAAAGAAAAGCTTGAATGGTTTGCCCGGTTGCAAGAAGAGTTTCATAGTTATCTGACATCATTAAATACTGAATATCATTCTTATATGAAACCTTCAATAGGATCCAGTACTGAGGCAATAGAGAAGGCTAGTAAGGCCGATAGTGGTTCCTCAAAGGTTCGTCAATTTTTGAGAAAACTTACAAAAAAATCTTCCCGAGTTGGTGTGGATAATAAATCAGCTTGGACTTCATTGTCAGGCCGTGAAGAAAGAAAGAACACTGAGAAGCTTCGTGCTTGTCAAGATGCAGTTTTTGCCACTGGCTTGATGAAATCTGCTTCAACAACCCATCCAAAAAGTTCCATGTTAGACAATGCTCCACCATTATCTTCAACCTTATCTCATTCACGAAGCCAGAGTCATGCCTCTGTTAGTTCTGATGCTGATGCTGATGAAAAGAACGGTATTGATGAGGGAACATTATGTTGGAATTTGTTGGTATCCCGACTCTTTTTTGATGTCAAAGGAAATGTGCAAATAAGGAAATCCATCCAAGAGAGGATTCAGGTAATAGATTTTCCCATATGATGATTTACTTTGTGCATTTGATTTTAAGTACGTTTAATTATGTTTACATTGGGAGGGAGATAGGAATTATTTTGGTAACAATTACTTTCTAGTATTTTGTCTACTCAATATTAGTTTTCTAAATTGATTAAACTAGATCATTCTCTCTGGAAACTGGATGAATGATGTTATATCTTTCTGGCAACCTTTTCCATTGCCAGTTGTTCCAAAAACTCAAGTAGATTGGTACAAGCTGAATTATATTTATTAAGCTGAATACATTAAGAATATTAAGAAGATTTACCTTTCAAATACATCTTGAGTTAATTTGTTGCCTTAGCCAATATGAGAATCCTACCGCATCTCACTAGAACTACATCAACCACACAAAGTGGCAGCGGGGCCATTTTCAGAGTTATTTTAAAAATCTGATGAATGGATGAAAAAAGCACCAGAAAGGTGAAATTCTATATTTACAAGAATGAGAGGGGATAGAATTTCCCTGCCAATCTTCCCCATTTCCCCTATTCTGTTATGATTGTTATAAGATAAATGTTGATATATGTATTTTTCTGTTTATTTACAATAATACCCTACAGAAAATCTCATTTTGTTTTGGTTTCTTTGAGATCAGTGTGGTTTTTTCTAATACTTTTACAGAGGACATTGTCGAATATGAGAACTCCAAGTTATGTAGGTGAAGTAATCTGTACAGACATCAACATGGGGAATGTTCCACCCTGTATCATTGGAATGAGGGTTCTTCCAATGGAAATGAGTGAGGTATGTGCCTTAGAGGTTGACATTGAATATTCTGGAAGTGCGATATTAGAGATTGAAACAAGGCTTGAAGTACGTGAACTAGAGCTCCAAAGGGAGACAGAGGACTCAAATCCAGAGTCGAGCAATGTTGAGGCTGTCCAGTCAGATCTTCTTGAAGGTTTCAAGTATTTTGGTGAGGAATTGAATCTTGCAGAAGGAATGGATGATTTGCCTGAGCCAAAAGGAGACGGTGAGTGGAACATTGCTTAATACATTTGCCCTGACAAATCCAACTTTTTATGCATTTTCTCTATTTATTGGTTTGCTAACATTATAGTGGATTTTTTACCCATAAAAATGGAATTTATGAAGTTCATAGTAGTAGTTTCTGTTCCAGGTATAAAACCATTTGCAGGCCTCTATTGAACATCTTAAGGTTTTAAAATAGTTGATATTTGACATGGTATTAAAGCCTTGATAATCAAATAGTCTGGAGGTTCATCCTTGCCCTTACCATTCTTTGTATTAAATTTAATTTTAATTTCAACACAAGTGAGTTTGTGCTTGTGCATCATCCGCACCTCAAGCCTAACTGGCTCTTATCCAAGTGGCATATTTGAATACTAAAACCATTCATGGGTCTCAATCTAACAACTTGACTTTTAGAAGAGTTGGTCTTTGAAAGTTTTGGACATATAATGAAACTTCTTTTGGCTGTTCTTGGACTGCGATTTCTGTCATGACTCATGACTAAAGGAGCATGTCTACTTGATCTTGTTTGGTTGTTTCATATCCAATGTGTTAGTCACCAAAGGCTGCACTACTTTCTAAAGTAGTCCACAAATATGTATTTTACTGTATTTTTTACACTTGATAAACTAGGTTGTCACAAGCACCTTCCAAATTCCTAGTGTCTCCACCCAGTGTCTTCTGACAAGATTATATCTTTTTTTGTATTTTTGTAACATTGGTAATGAAATCATGCGGTTTTCACTAGTTTTATTTTCTTGTTTTCCTAGAGGATACCTTATCAGCCTTTTCCAGTCTTGCTTTTCTACTATAGATAATGAATTTTTAAAGCAATTTGTGTGTGGGTAGGGTTATATAAAGAATTCATTATTGACAATTTCAGTCTGTACTTTGCAGATGTGTCTAAGAGCTTCAAGCACAGTACATCTTCCTCAACTCAAGGATCAAGATGGAAGTCTATGTTAAATTCTGTTGCCAAGCAAGTTTCACAGGTAGCATCATGTTATTATTCCCTCTTTTTTCCTTTTCCATTGGTTGCTTTCTTTCCCACTGCAATTCGTCAGCTGTTCTTTTGTTATTAGGAGTATGCTATATAAATAGCTAAGTAGTGTTGTACTCATATGAAATGTGTCTCTGCATTTTGTTGTTTCTCTCCAGGGGTTAAATAAGATGTGTATGGTTTACTTGCCTTGCTTTCATTGTTTAATAATAGTTGGCTAAATTCTTGTTTAAATTCTGTATTTTAGTGCTCACTCTTCATGTTTGGTTCTAATCTGTTTGTGGGCAAGAACTTCATTTTTAGGTAACTTAATGGTAACCTGCTGAGGTATTCCAAACCCATGCTTAGATCCCCTTTCATCTTAGCTATTACTCCGGCCTTCCCTATTATAATTCTTTGTCAGACAAACAACTCCTGTTTGTAATTTTTTGTCTAGAAAATAATATATCGTGTAATTTGCAATGACAAAATACCCAATGACAAATTTTCTCAAAAGAGATATTTGTATGGTATGAAACTAGATGAGGTGTCCACATCCATAGCTCATTATAATTTGCTCCAATTTTTGTCATGGCAAATTCACAAATGCGTATTTCTACAAAATTCTACAAATTATCACTGTAGAAATTCAGACTACATGGAGGTCTTCATAATTTGCTCTACCTTATGCTAAAATTCAACTTATTGTCGAAAGAGGGATTGTGCAAAAATCTGTGTCAACAAGGATTGAACTTTAGACCACATGGAAGCATGTGAATTTTTTGTTACATATCTAACAATAGGTGATTAGAAGTTGCATAACGAAAATCTTTTCCAAGAGCATTTCCATGTTGATAGAAGCATACAAAGACATAATTAAGTGTTTGATAATGTCTACATGTTATGCCATTTTATCTGTCTATGCAGTTATATTGTTATAAATAGATCAATCTGTGTTATTCTCAAAGTAACTGATTATTTATTTTCAAAAGGTTCCTCTCTCTTTGGCAATAAGGGTAGCATCCCTCAGAGGGACATTGCGCTTGCAGATAAAGCCACCTCCCTCTGATCATTTGTGGTTTAGTTTCACATTCATGCCTGATATAGACTTCAACTTGGAATCATCTGTTGGAGAACACAAGATAACTAATTCCCACATTGCTTTCTTCCTGGTCAATCGGCTCAAGGTATGATACTTTTCTTCTCATTTGGCTAAGTTCTGAAACAACATTGGTGAAGGATTTTCTCCCCCTTCCAGATTTTGTTTAGAGTTTTCAAGTTTTATGCTGTTCATTTCCATGTCCTCGTTTAATCCATGTACAAATAATTCAGATATACCAGTGTCAGTAATTACATCTGAAGAGAAATTTCTTCGTGAAATAACATAAGGAAAATTTCTTTTTGCTCTATCTGTCAGTTCAAGTGCCCATTTTTTTTTTCTATTTAGTTACTTCCAATCATACAAGCAACCATAGAATTCTGGATTCGTTAATAAATGTTTCTTGATACACTTGGTTCTCTCTCTGTTTCTTTTTTTCAGCAAATAACATTGTCCATAAGTTTTAGTGAATAAATGATTCTATACACTAATTCAGGTCCGTTAAATCCATGTCTGAATTCATACCCATATCTATTGATCAATCTTTCAAATTTCACTAGTGATTAACTGATTACTATGCCTGTTTTTTGGAGTTTGCTTTTGAGGAACTCGTGGTGCTCATCCTCTCTGTTCTATCTATTGTAGTCCTAAACGAAGTCAACTTTTTTTGATAAAATCTTTTAGAAAGAATTAGAGCATCTTTCACTTGCAAATTTAATTTCTCTCTTGCAGGCAGCAATTCGGGAAACCTTAGTGTTCCCAAATTGTGAAAGCATATGCATTTCATGGATGCAAGCTGAAAAGGATGATTGGGTTCCTAGGAATATTGCTCCGTTCATATGGATCCACCAAGAATCAGGGAACGAGACTTCAACTTCAGTTGATGCCAGTAATCAACCTTCTGGTGGACTGAAAGCTAGTTCAAGGACCTCAAGTGATGGTTCAGAAATCAAACTACCTAAATTAAAATCAAGTCAGGAACCAGCTCGGAAATCAGATTCTCTGGCACTTCCATTAAGTTCCTCTAGTACATTGACACTAAGGAGTAGCAAAAGCTTGGAAGAACTGACAACACCTTTGTTAGAGAATGAGAAACCACAAGGGAGTAGAGATTTGAAAGAACTTAGAACACCTTCAATACAGAATAACAATACACATGAAGCTAGTGAGGAGGTGGTGGATATTGCTGGAAGTGAATCACCTTCCAGAAATGTGGTGATGGACAAACAATATAGTTCAATGGAACAGGATGATTCAAGGCCAAGGAAAATTGGGAGAAGGGAAAAAATGCTTGATTTGAAAAAGAGGATGAGTGAGAAATTTGAAGAAAAGAAACGTCACATTGAAGAAAAGGGTAGGCACATTGTTGAGAGGATGAGAGGACCACAATGACAAACATGAACAAAGTAATGCTTATATATTTTTTACTGATTTTTTTTATCACGTCTAAGATTAGTACCATTCATAAATAAGAATATGGGATATTAGATAACTTTTCAGTGATATGTTGTATATTTTCTAGGGGCTTAGAAGATCAAATAGAACTATATATAAATTCACAGAAAATATTTTTGTTGCTTTCCACGAGGATTCCAAAGTACTGACATAATCCTCTTGTAAATTTGCAATGGCCACAGGGTATGATAGAACACTCATTTAATTGTTGAATACCAAATAACTTTGTTACAGAGAAATGCTATACAGATTCACAGTTTCATTTGAGGAGTATTTCATTTTTATTGTGCATTTGAGTTTCTCCAAATGCTTTTGTTAACTTGAAGAGGAAAAAAAACTTACATGAATGAAGAAGGCAAATGATAATATAAGCGGATATCATGAGCTACCCGTGATCGATGCTTGACAACTACAATAGTAATGTAACTGAGAATTATCAAAGTCAGCTGGTGACCAACAAAGATAATTATGCAGGGAAGATGGATAATGGTTGTGATTTTAATCAAGTTTGTTACCTTTGCCCAACTTCTCATTGTGGGAATGATGTATAAATCTGTTTCAGTGATTGAATAAATGTCTGGTAGAAAGGATAATAAAGATGTGGTGTTTTCAATTTCAACAATGATATTCAGACACTCCAAATTATCTCCACCTTCTTTGTCTTTCTCTCTCACTTCTTTCACTAGTCACATTATTTATCACATCTTTCACTTCTCCCTTTCCTTTTCTTTTTCTTTTCTTGCTCTATGTTTCTTTTTTTCACCCTGCTCCACTAAAAACTGAGATGTATGGTTATCTTTATCCTTTCAAGTTACATCTTTTGTCCTTTGTAAAGAAGTCAATTTACATGAAAAGTGACATGTATCAAAATCATGGGTAGACACTCTGCCTAGTCAAGTACCAGAAATAACTGCTTAACTAGAGAGAACCAGGATAGCAAAGATGAAATAGAAGGGAATCACAACTTCACCTGAAGTCCTTATTTGGACAAGAACCAGATTCAGAATTCAACTGCACAGCCGATTTCGCATAATAAAATCCCTGTCAGTAGTCATGGAGATGAACTCCATAGCATGTTCTTATAATGCTGGAGCCAGGAAGTCCTATTGACATGACCAGTTGCAACAATTGGATAACCATAAGTCATCAGAGGTTCCCTAGTCTGTTTTCTTTTACAGTTAATCATTCACTGATATTGTTTCTGCTGTATAGCTACCTTCTTGAAGGGTAAAATTTAGATCTTGTAGTGTCTTATAGATATTGACTAAGCCAACCCGAGACTGATTTCCTGCAGCAAATGCATGAAATCTACCACTGACCTCAACCTGGCTCCAGCCACATTCTTTAACCAACCCTTTAGCTTCTATCAAATTTCTCATCATATGAGCCTCCTTCCACTTGCCCAAAGAGGTATACAAATTAGCCATTAATACATAACTTCCAGAGCTTCCAGGACTAAGGTCTAATAACTTAGCAGCTACAAGCTCTCCCAACTCAACATTGCCATGGATCCTACAAGCACTGAGCAATGGACCCCAGGCTTGAGCTTGGGCTGCTAGTGGCATTCCCTGAATTGCATCTAAAGCTAAGTCAAGCTGGCCAACTCGACCAAGAAGATCTACCAAACACATATAATGTTCTACTGTAGGAGCTATTGCAAAATCCTTTTGCATACTATTGAAGAATTTCAGTCCATGTTCTACCAATCCTGAATGGCTACAGGCCAGCAAAATACTAGTGTAAACAATGGCATCTGGCATTATCCCTTCTGCAGTTGTCATTTTGTGAAAGAGGCTAATTGCCTCATTTCCCATCCCATGGTTTGCATAACTATTTATCATGGAAGTCCAAACAGTTAAATCTTTATCTGTCACCCTTTCAAATACTTCTCTTGCTTTCTTGATGCTCCCGCATTTGGAGTACATGTGTATTAGAGATGTTTGGACTTGTTGGTCTGACTCCAATCCATTTAGGAAAACGTACTCTTCAATCTCTTGCCCCATGCTGAGTGATCCCAAATCAGCACAAGCTGATAGGACCGTTGCAAGGGTTGCTCCATTTGGTCTAATATCTGTCCTTGCCATCCTTCTAAACAGATCCAGTGCTTCTACTGGATGACCTGAATGAGCGTACCCTGCAATCATTGACGTCCATGATAAAATGCTTTTTTCACTGATCAGATCAAATATCCTTTCAGCAGATGTGAGGTTGCCACATTTTGCATACATAGTAATAAGCGAGTTTTCAATAGAATCCTCTTCATCATACCCACATTTGAGCACAAGAGAATGAACAGACGAAGCTAACAAAAGCTCTCCTACCTCTATGCAACCAGAAATAAGATTCAGAAACACAACAAAGTCTCTGCCAATTCTTTGATGTTGCATTTGCTTAAATAAATAAAATGCTTCCACAGCAAGTCCAATTTTCACATAACCCCCCATAATAGCTGTCCAAGAAATTATTGACTTTTCATCCATCAAGTCAAAAACTTTCCTTGCTTCATCCATTTGGCCAAATTGGGCATACATACCCATCAGTGAGTTGGCCAGAGAGGCCTCCAAATACACAAGCCCAAGTTTGATCAAGCAACAGTGTATCGACATCCCCTGCAAATGAAATTCAGAAGAATCCAACTTGGAATAACCTGACAAAATCGAAACGAATGTGGAAGAACTTGGTTCAAAACCAAGAACCCACATTTCTTTCAAGAGGCTCAATGCCTGGTCCATCAAAGACACACGAGTGTAAGCCGAAACCATGGCATTCCACGAGATGGCACTTCTCTGAGGCATTTCATCGAACACCTGTCGTGCAGATGCAACTTCGAAGCTTTTTGAGTACGTATCGACAAGAGCAGTTTGAACAAAGGTGTCACCTTGGAACCCAAGTCTCATGACCTGCCCATGAAGCATTGTTCCATGTTGACTGGAGGCAAGGTTAGCACAGGCTTTGAGGACCATAGGGTAGGTGAAACTGTTGCCATGAACACCACAGTGTGTCATGGAATAATATATCTTCAAAGTTTCTAAGAAGAACCCATTATTGGTAGAGTCTCTAATCATCAAGTTCCATAGGTAGAGGGGCCTTTTGAAGTTAGCAAGGGATGAAAGACGCAATGACATTTAGTTTCTACTTTCTAAACATCTTTGTTTATGTTGTTTGGAGCTGTTAACAGCTTTTGAAGTCACTACCAATGCTCCAAATCTTTGTTTAGTTGTTTACTATGTTGTCAAACGAAGTTAACTTCACTTAAGTGCAAACCATAGCGACAAACTACCATGTTTGTATGTTGCTTTGAGTAAATTTACTTGCATAAGCGCGTACATGCTCTGCCCCCGCCAATTTTTCTTTTGCCCAAGATTTGTCCTTCCATAAAACATGGAGTTATAATTACAGTTATTTTTTAGGCATAAGTTTTAATTAGATAATTTTTTTCTTCTAGAATTAACCTCTTCAAGACTCATTTATATTAAAGATACTAATTTTAGACTTTTAATATATATTAGAGCGACGTAGTTGTAGTGTGTGTTTGAATACATGTTAAAAACATTGTAAATATAAATTAACGAAACCTGGAGTTAAAATTTTTTAATATTGCGATGGCAATTACGAAAATTTAGCCTGTACCACTTGTTTTCTTATTGGAATTTGCATTCTCCTCTATTCTTTTAAGAATTAATAGTATCGTGTTGAAAAAGAAAAAGAAATTGTCTGTGGATGTATAGAAACAAACCAGTATTAGTATATAGTCTGTTATTAGTGTGGTTTGTGCCATTCTCTCTTATATCTTGATTTTGTCTGGTTAAAGAAATATTAGGAAAGGGGCACGTGCTTTGACATGACCCAAAGAGCCCAAAACATTCTCCAATTATAATCACAATTTGCCATAAAAAATTACTATAAAGCCATTGGATGGTTAGACAGGAAAAAATAGTAATAGATAACAAGTTTTTTAATTCTAAATTAGAATCACTAGCAGGAGTATATAAAAATATGAACCATACATATATATATATATATATATATATATATATATCTTGAAAATATTCTATGCACTTAATATATTTGCTGCATCATGCTTGTTATCAGATAGAAAATATTCTTGAAAGGCATGTTATATTTAAATCAAGTGGATCTCAATTACAACGACAATGTATAATTTAAAATGGAAACCTTGGAAGAAATATAAATTCTACAGATTTTTTTTATATTTCCAATAGACAACTAAATTTCCTGCTGATTTCTCTTTCCTTCTATGGAACATTGAATGATTTTCAATGCATTTCTTTAATTTAGACCTTAGTTAGGAGTCAGGACATACATCTTACAAGCGTGTGAATCTAATTCAGCAGATATTTCTCCAGAAATGGATGATTGTGTTGAATGCTGCAAAATTCAAAAATAAATAGTTAAAACAATAGGTATTTTAATTGCTTAGCATTAGCATTGTAAGGAACAAAATAAGTCAAACAAAGAGAATGTTTGGTTTGAGAAAATATTCCATTTTTTACTTTAAATTAAAAAATTGGTAGCTTATTTTCATTGTTTCTTGTTCTTAAAGATTTGTATAAGGAATAATAAAAACAATAAAAAAAAGTTATTTTCACTATTTTTTCTTACAAATTTTTTAAAATAAAAAGCTTAATAAAAATGAAAAAAGAAGAAGATATAATCCAAAGCAAATGGCCCCTGAATATCTCACCACCCATAAATCCCTTGCATCAACTGAAGTTCCTGGTTTTAGGCCTATGTCAGACCAAGATGCAGTTACTGTTGCTTTGGATGAACTTCTGTTCCATAAGATCACTGCTACCTTGTTATGACTGAGAGGACCTGCCCACACCTGCAACAATTCCTTTCTTTTAAGAAGTTCTATTGAGAAATTTTACACTATAGACACAAGGTTTTTTTTTTTTTTTTTTTTACTTCAAGGATACTATTGTCTACTTAATTTTAATATGAAAAAACAATTGCACTCGAAAACTAAGGCTAGGCCAGCATCAAGTTTTGTAGTTATGTGAAAACATGAAGTAGCATAACAAAGCACTAAAAAAACAAGAAAGGAAATTACCTCCAAACCATTATTACTTGTCACCTTCTTTCCTTGAACTCCTAGTTTGTCTGCAATACCATAAGGTTATTAGTTTTAAGAAAAATGTTAAAATTAGTCCTTAGGATCGATTCTATACATCATAGTAAAATTTTATTGGAAAAAATATTTATTATACTAAACATACAAAAGTAAAATAAGTGCTATTTTTATTAATAAAAATTTACTACTACTAATCCTATTTATAAAAAATAACTACAAAAATTTTTTGGTCAAATATAAAAAATAAAGACTTATTTTACAAAAATATTAATTGCTAAGTATTTTTTACATCCTTATTTATTACAAAAGTTGTATTAACAAGATACTCACCTTTTATTTATAAAAGTAGATAAATCCATTCATTTAATATATAACATACCAATTTAATCATTTTTAATACTAAGAGTATTTTTGAAATAAAGTTTAAATTTATAACTTTAATTAATTTTTATTATTTTTGATGAATTAGATGCTTATTTTTAATAAATAAAATTGGAAATAGTAATATTATTGTATGCGAGTTCTAAGAGTTGATTTTAACAAAATCAAAGTTTTAAAAGCATTCTCTGATAAAGAGAAGATGAGAAGGTTGTTTTAGTCTGTTCCTGCCTTGGTTTACTGCAATAACTTCACTGTTGCTAAGTAGTTCCTTTGTGGTGGAATCCAATGCTCGAATGTCACAACCAATCAATAAAGGAGCCTATATATGCAAAAGAAACTTATTTAATATGCAAAATACATTTTCCTCAAGGAATTTATTACACTGCAAGTGTCTAAACATCATGCATTAATATTTTGTTTTGTTTCAAGTTACCTTAGCTAATGCCCATATGCTGAAATGGGCACGATATTCTTCTGTTGTCATGCCACCATTTCCAACTTCAAGCATGTCAGGATCTGAACACCAAAATGTGAGAATGTGAACTTTAGTTTCTTCAAGATGATATGATAAATTGGAATTATACATGGACATAAATATTTATTTGTTTAGCTATTTTGGTGAAAAATTTAATTGTTTTAAAGTATTGAGTAATATGTGAATGATAACTATTTGTCCAAGAGAACTAATTTTCATTTTTGGTCAACTAAGAGAACTAGTAATTTAGTAGAAAGTGAGAATTATTATTACCATTCCATCCTCCAGGTCCAGCATAAGAAGCCCATTTGTCATTTAGATCTACACGAGATGTCATACTATGGAGAAAGTATTATAAGTTTTCCATGTGGAAAAGGAAGAAATGAAACCATGAAACAAAATAATGCAACTATGCAAATAAAAAACAGAACTCTTTTAACTCGATTATCATTTTGATTCAAAATAAGCCTCTCCAAGAAATGCTTGTCAAGTGTTCAATAAAGCATGAATGTGATGCAAATATGGGCCAGGTTCCAAATTGATGGCGAGTTTGCAATGTTGTTGCCTTCACTTAAATGTTAACATATTGTAACCTTACAAGTTATATCTTTCATTGTGATTTAATATTCTTATTGAGGTTTCCAAACACACGCTGAGTGCAAGATTATGAAATTCCTCAAGTTAGATTCATATTATATGGACATGGAAGATAAACAGATTTATATCATATCATTCATGCTTACCTATCCCACTTATCTTGAATATCCCCTGTCGTTCTCCAACTATTTCCTACACGTTTGGCCCAAGTTGCTGGATCTTCTGATCCCCTGTGTTTGAGAAACCAATCAATAGTACAAAAAATGGACATTTTTTGGCTTCTTAGAGGAATAGAGTAGATGAAATGCTAATTATACTTTCTTCTAGGCAAAATAAATATTCCTCAATGAATTAGTTAAGTTTATCATCATATGTAAACTCTATCATGTATATGAAAAATGATCACCAATTGGGCTCACCATTCACACAAAGAGAAGAAGATTGACCTTCCAGAGTTTAACAAAGCATCCCTCATTGGTGGGTACCTGTTTGACAAAATGTATCAATATCTGGATTGTGGAAGCATGTATTCTTGTGTGCATTTGAAGGCCACTTACCTTTCTTTGGGGCTTATATTATTATTCTCACAATTATCATACTTCAAGTAGTCAACCCCCTAAATTATCATTGAAATTAGATATTAATAAAATTACATAGGATAGAGGTTGTTATAAATGCAAAATGACTTTCCAATCAATGCATGTTACCCAAGAAGCAAATGCTTTTGCATCTTGTTCTTCATGTCCTAGTGATCCAGGCATAGTGTTACTGCATGTTTGATTTCTGCAACGAAATTTTCAGTGATAAAATAAAATGGTTGAGCAATCATAGAGATACAAAGATCAAAGTTTTAAGTTTAATGTGTTATACCCAGCATCAGAATAAATCCCCAACTTTAAACCTTTGTTATGAACATAATCAGCTAGAGCCTTGATTCCAGAAGGAAATGTTGAAGCCTTGGGAACCAAATTGCCCTGCCGTCATTTAACATTAGCCAAATTTAATTATCACATAAAGGGATTTTTTTTTATATTGTTATATGCAATTCTTAGTTATACACTAAGTAGCAAATATATTTGAACACTCTCTAGGTTCTCATTTTAAACAGATAAGAAAATAATTATAAATATAAAAAATGTAACATTGTGGAAACTCTCCTCATTTCAAAGTTAGAACAAACCAGTAGAATAAATGAAGATTTACAATAGAACTATATATCATCTACTAACAAGAAGTTCATATATTCCTACTCAAATCATGCAATAATAATAAGCAGAAAATTAACTAGGTAAACTAACCATATTAGATAATACAATTTTTAATTGAATTTAATAATATAAAATAATAGTATTACCTGTGAGTCTCGGTTAAGCTCACCCCAACAATCATCTAAAAATATCAAGAAAAAAAATTATTATTTCATTTGAATTAATTTTGTACTGTTAATGACAAAAGTAATAATAATAATAATAATGCTAAATGTTCTACCTATATTGACATATTGGTAACCTAGATGAGCGAGGCCCGTTGACACCATAGCATCAGCTACAATAATGAAGAGATATAACACAAAATATATTAAGTAAAACATGTCTAGTATTATAAATAAACTAATATGAATTCCAAATTCATGTAGTATAGTTAAGTTACCTGTTTCTCGAATTAAGTCTTCGTTAATATGACAGCCAAAATGGTTCCAGCTGTTCCATCTGAATTTTATGAATAATAATTGGTCACTATATATTTATTTTCATATATTTGCAAAAAATTCATCACTGATAAATCATAGAACATTTTTTAACAAATCGATATCTCTTTATAAATGTTCTTTTATGATGACAAAAAGGCTTAAAAATTCAAAATTTTAGGCTTCCAAAGTCAAATTTTATAGTTGGCAGACATGGGCTTCAATCATGAGTTAAAAAGAAAACATATTTCTATATTAATTTTAAAATTTTTTACATTAAAAATTAATTTGATCAAAATAAAAATGAAACATTAATTATTTGATATATTAAATATCCGACGATGGCTTTAGCCAAGACTTAGCACATTAAGCCCAATCGTCCAATGTACAATGAAGTTCCATTTTTAATTCTCATTTGTTGTTAGCTTTAGCCAAATACAGCTTTTTTTAAAAAAATATATATAAATATAATTTAATGGAAATTAATAAAAAAAAAATTCATCCTGCTATTACTTCTTTTGGATAAGAAGACTGTAAACAACAGACAATAGATGTTTCCCGAGATGAAATAAAAAATAAATCAAATTTGGCAAAATGAATGAAAATGGAGAAAAAAAATTATAAGACTTAAACTATTCAAATTAGTAAATTTCCTTTTACATTTACTTGTGCTGTAACTTTATATTTTACTAATTTATCAACTAAACATCATAAACTCGTTATAAGAATTTGGCCTAAAATTTGAAGATAAGATCGTTTAGAAAAAAAAGTTATTAGATTTATATTGGCCTAGCCTAACTATAAGAAGTGGTTGAAGGGTCAATTGAAAACTCAATAATAAGTTGGAAATTCAATCATGAACCATTTAATATATGGAGGTTGCTACTGTAAGTAGCAAAGATAGTGCATTAGCTGTAACATTATGAAATAAAGCTTGGGTGGGCACTTGTATGGATGTGAGTTCTATTTCTGTAACATCACTCCTAATTTATTTTTGATGATGATTATACGATTATAGATTCTTGATTGGTGAGTGCAATAAATAAAGATGGAACAAGAACCAACCCAGTTTTGTTTTATTCAATATATAAGTGGCTTTAGGTAAAACTATTACTATCAAACATAATAACTCATCTTTAACCTTAATATAGTAATTTGTGGCTTAGATTTTAATTGATGCAATAAAGTCATCATCAATTAAGTGTCCTTGTCATTTGCCAAATGCACAATAAGTCGGTGAAGCTCAACTACTAACTAAAAATTCCAAAAACCACAACAAGATTCATAATTACATCTTAATCAATTACAAGACAAATAATGCCACCACCATGGACCTTCCATGGGAGCACTCACATCATCTTGTGCCATTCATGATTAACCAAATTGGATCTAGTGGGTGGGATATGACGGTGCCACCTAAATTGTTTATAGATTTGTGTAAAGGAATCAGATTAGGATAAGACACGATACTATTGTTTATTATTTTATTATACATTTTTTTTATTAGAATATATGTTCTAAACTTTACATACGATTTTTTAACTTTGTAATTTTAACGTGAGTAATAAGAATTTATATATAATAATTTTGTATTAAAAGTAATAAAATATTATATAATTTAATATATTAATATTTTTAATAAAAAATTATTACTTAAAAATATATACATTATCTCTCTTTCCAAATGCCTTCTCAATTTCCTTATCATCCCACTGAAGATAAGCATTCTAAAGAAAAGGTGATTACTTATAAACTATAGATCATGTGATGAGAATGAGACTACAACGGATCAATTGGACTTTCTATGATGTTATATACATACTGTGTATATATATCAGATACAATAACATACCCTTCAAGTGATTCAAATCATCTTTCAATTATTTGAGTGTGCTAATTAATTAATGCAAAAGTTAAGGGACATATATAACAAATAATAAAGAAAACAAGAAAGTTTGGTGGGGAAAAGTGAAGAAGAAAAAAAGAAAATGCTTACCCCATGGGGGGTGTTCGGCCAAGTCCATTATTAAGCAAGTTTCTCCTATGTATCTCACCAGGCAAGAACACTCCTCTGGTTCTGTCCAACAATAAACGTGCAGATGAAGAACTTGTATTATTCAATATCACAATTAGGCACAAGGCAAGCCTGGTCACCATTGATAACCCGTATCTCCAACTTGATGAATATTTCAGTGCCATGTAATATATACTATACTATAAACATATAAATGTAAAATTTTATGTGTGGGGCTATGGAAGATTCAAAAAGCTATTGAATTTTTGGATAGAAGAAAGGAGTACCAAAGGTGAAGGAGAAAAGTGACCAAGAAGTAGAAGAGAGAAGTACATGAAGCTTGGCGGTGGCTTATGATAGTGCTATTAAAAGAGTGTCATGCAATTTATTGAGCAATATTGGAAGAGTAATTTGCAATATTTATAGAGCAATATAGTTGATGTGAGGTTTGGTAACCATCTATTGTCCACTCCACTGTGTATTTCTCTACCCTGAAATCCTGTATGCATACATTGCTTTACTTTATTGGATTTGCATTTTCTCTTCCACATGTTCATCTCGTGTTAGAGAGAAAAGACAAAGACTTGTATTTAGATAAATAGTTTAATTAAAAAAATTATAAAAAAGTTTACTTATTTTATTTAAAGTATCAGATAAATATTTAATATTGTATTTTTTAAGGTTTGTTTGACACATGTTAGACAATTTTTTTATTAAAGATAAAATTAATATTTTTATTCTCTAATTTTAAGATAAGTTTTGATTTTATCTTTTAACTTTTTTTATTCACTTTAATTATTTAATTTTTACAAAAGTTTTAATAAAAAATAACTTATTTAAAACTTTTGTAAAAGTTAAAAGATTAAAATAAATAAAAAGAAAGTTAGAGAACAAAAATAAAACCTATTTTAAAGATAAATGACAGAAACTTTAATTTTGCCTTTATTTAAAAAGTCATCTTTTATCATATTGCATTTGTGCATCTAAGTTGATATTTTCATATAAATTTTCTTTGTCTACATATTTTTAAATGAATTAAACACTTTTATATAGATAGATTCTTCAAAAAATTAATATTATAGACAATATTTATAATTTTAAATATTCAAAATATTCAGCTTAAAATACATTTTAAAATAGTAAAAATAATATCAATAATATCTCTTAGCGTTTTATGAAATTCATTATCATAAAAAAGGTGAACACAAATAAAAATATACAAAATTATTAATATTATTATGGTTATACAGCAAAGTCATGGTATCTTATATTGGTCACATTAGTCATGTAATGTCAATGACTCATAGGTTTGTAACACAGAATTGATCATAAAACCCATTAAAATAAATTTAAAAAATTATGAGTTGTAAGTTTACTTTTATAAAAATAATTAAATAGTATATGATTAATTAAGCTTATTTTGAAAAAATTAATTATTTTTATTGTTTAAGTTTTTTAAAAAAAACTTTGAAAAGTAAGTGATACATGTCTTTGAAGTGTCACTAAAATAAATTTGCTTCTTCTAGTAAATCTTTTTCATACAAGAAACTAGGAATTGAAGTCTTTTTATTATACTTAAAAGTACGATTATTTATTGTCAAATTTTGATGATTTGATGAATAATATTTTATTAATAAAAAAAAATTTCTTTGCATTAAAGATAATACTTATAATTAATGAAAATTAGTTCGAGTAATAAATAGTTCGGTATCACTTAAATAAAATTTTGAATTCGAGTATTTATATATATAAATAATTTTTAATAATAGATTCATCCATTACTTCGTCCAGGTGTACGATCAGAATAAATTGAATGAGAAAAAAAAATAACATTTATAAAAGGCAGAAACAAACATTTTACACAATACTTGAAAATGCTTATCAACAACTTAAAATAATATAAGGGATTCGGAGAAAAATGCAGAAATAATAAAATATATCTTAAAATATGTGATTGATTTATAAGAATAAAATATATAATATTGTATATCTCTACGTTGCATTGATCAATCAACAATGTAATTATATTAAATATTTTATCTTTTAATTAAACAAAATTGAGACATATCTCTTAAGTTTATTTGAAACTTTGGCCGTATCCCATTGTCAAACATATGAAAACAAGAAATCAGATCAAATCTCAAGAAACAACTTCGTACCGAAATTTCAGAATCAAATGTCCATAAAATGAGTTATCATTGGAAATATAAAGATGTCTTTTTCCTGCGTATAGTACATGGTGTAATAATGAACTGTTGTTATCTTTCTTTGGACTTCTTCATGTCTTCTATAATAGAAATATTAATTTTTCACAGAAAGAATCAAGAATATAATAGCTGTATTGCAATCATGTTAACAACTATGAATTGATGCCCTTGACCTCACGCTTTAAAAGATTTTCAACAACATAAAAAAGTTTGAAAAAACGAGAAAGGTAAAAAGAATATAAATAAAAAATAGAAATCTAAACTTTAAAAAAATAAATAAAAGTCTAAGACCATGTAGCATGCATGCTCGAAAATACATTAAATCATTTGAACAAAGCAACCATTTCAAGTTCAACCTAACTATAAAAAGACAAACTATTCTTTTTACACTGAGAATTAAATTAGATTCATCCAGTTCAATAACCATTTAGATTTTCATTAATAATCAAAGTTTTTTTTTTATTAATTGAGTTATTTTTGTTCAGATTTACTTGAATTTAATCTTTTTATTTGTCAATCATTCTTTAGATAATTATTTTTTATTCCCTAAAATTTATGTTAAAGTAAAAAACGATAAATTTCTTTGTTGTTCTTTATTTAATTACAATTGAGGGCTTATTAGATATTTAACCCTAATTATGAAAATGTTCACATTAATTGAAACTACTTTAGGTAGTTTTATGATTAGAAAGTATATATGAAATTATATACATTTCCTTCTTTTTTTATAACTTTTTAGTTTTCAGATATACTTTGCTCCATCAATAATAATTGTTGTTTATTTTTGTGGAGGGAGGAGGGGGTTAACATTATTGACTAGAGTTTTATTATTATTATTATTAGAGTTATCTTTATTCATGTGTATGTGTGGAAACTTTTATTGAAAAAATATGGGTACCACAAATAAATTGTATTATATTCATATTTTACATCTATTATTTTATAGAGGATATTCTCTATGATAGTATATGTCAAATACTCACTGTGGATTAACAATAAATATTTTAAATTGTTCATATAATTATCACAGGTGAATATTTTATTAGATTTAGCAATAGATAATTCATGATGAATTAGATTATTCTTATAAAAATTAATTGAGAGATTCATATCTTCAACTAATATATATAACATCATTTTGTCATGTTAGAAAGATATTTGTTTCTCTGCATCAAGTGCAAAGTAGTTTTACTCTCAACACTTGGTTCAAATTCATCATAGATCCCAATGATGATGACTCCATGATAAAATTTCAAATGATAAGAGTGAAATGTGTGTGAAATTAAAAATTTCTGAAATAGAAGTTGTGAGATGGAAATTGAAGCATTTAATGTGTCAATTGAGTGCGTACGCGTTTAACTGAGTTGCTTGTCGTTTGGTACGTTGCATCACCATGTGTCTCAATCGTTGTTATTATTCATTTTGAAAGTGCCATTAATTAAATTAACAAAGTATAAGGGGTTATATATAGCAATGGTACGATTTGCATTAATATAAAATCATTGCACTAAACACTATATATATATATATATATATATATATATATATATATATATATATAATGATAGGTTAATATTTTTAATTTTTTTATCATCAAATTTTAGGGTTGAATTTAAATAATTATTAATAATTTTTTTCTTAAAAATAAAATATTGGTTGCACACTTATATTTTTAATATAATAAAAAAAATTTAATATTTTTTTAGTTTTAGTTATTTATCACCAGCCTTAAAGATCTATGATAATTTTTATTATCTTTTTTTACTTTCTCTCTTAATTTTATAATTTGATATGAATTATAATTTTCTATTTGAATATGATAAACTTGCCTTTCACAAACCGAGCTGAGATGTCATAGTTGTGTTAATGTTATCTCTTTTCTTACCATTTTTATCAAACTTCGTAAGCCACACATTTGAGTTATGATTATGCTGTTACGAAAAATACATTCTTTAACACATTTTTTATTATTTATTAAAATTTATTAAAAATTAAAAAATATAAAAAAAATATTAATTTAAAAATAAGAAAAAATAATTTAAAAAGTATGTGTTAAAAAGTAAATGTGCCCGTTTCTTGTAATTCTTTTTAATCGCCGTTTTATGATGCGATAAGGTTTTGCAATAAATTGACCATTTTCTGTGATAGGATTGGAATTGAATGAAGCAAGACGGAAATTTGACATATAAGGATATATTTTACATTTATTTTTAGAAAACATTCTATTTCACTTTTATATCTCCAATATAATAAATTCTTTTGAATGTTTAATTAGTTCAGCTCTAAATGTTGAATTAACAATTAATATTGTTTTAAATATTTATATAAATAAGAATAAATTTTATCTTATCTCCTCAGACTGATAAATACAAATGAAAGTATATAAGCATGCTAAAATATTCAGAAAAGTGTCAATTGATGTTTTTAGGATTGAATTTATACAATTAATAATAACATTATTTTATTAAAAATATTTATTATATTTTTGTATGTCTAATGTAATTAGTACTTGGAAAATGTGAGCAACTAAAAGTAAAACAATTATACAAAAATAAATTATTTATTATGTTAGAGTCTCTTATGCCAGTGTTCTTTGAGCTTGGTTTCAAATCTGAGGCATGGAACTAAAGCATAAGCACTTAAAGATGATTTAGGATGAACAAAGGGTAAAATATTTGCTAGCGTGTTATTGGAAATGAAATTTTTATATGGGCTAAGTATGAGGGAAAAGAGAGATTGAGGTGAGGAAAGTGGATGATACACGGTGGGATGAGAGGAGAGGCAGTGCAAAAGTTGAGGGGTGGAAGAGTTAGAAATGAAGAGAAGAGGAAGTAGATAGGTATAAGGTAGGGAGAGGATGAGGGGAGTTGAGTATGAAAGAAGATAAATGAAGGTAGGATATGCACTAGCAGCTCAAGAGTTTTTAGAGATTAAAATAAATTTAAAATGAGACTTTTTTTTATTAATAAAATAATTTGTTATTATTAGTTGAGAATTATGGTTTGTTAAATATTATTTGTAATACTAATAAAAATTTAATAATTAAATTAAAAACTATTTTTAAATTTAATTTTTTTAATTTTTAAAGATATATTAAAACTAAAAAAAATAAAAATTTAAGAATTCTAAAGCCTTTGTCTTACCTGCTGGGCCTTAGGGCGCCCCTATGAAGGTTAGAAAGAGAGTATTTGGTATGACGGAAAGTGAGAGGAGAAGGTTACATGAAG